ACATACTTGACTCAAGCCAAAATGGATATAGTCAACACTAAACGTTTATGCCATTGTTTTAATTGTTTATTTACTTACGTATTTACTCACTTATTTACTTACTTATTTTTTTTTTTAAATTCATTTATTTATGTATTTATTTATTTATTTATTTGTTTTTTTGTTACTTTAAACTGATTCTTTTGATTGAGCTTCCATAGCTTCTGGAAAAATTATATGACGTAGCGCCACCACATGGTCTGTTATAATAGACTCATTGGTTCCAGACATTTTTTACATTTGATTTGTGTAATAATAAAAAATAATAATTTCTAAATAAAAAACGAAAGTAAACATTTTTTTTACATCAATTTACATTTTTGAATATTTTTAATCTGTGTTTTGATGCAAACATAATCAATAACATATCTGTGATTGGTAAAACATGTATTTAATATAGTAGGGTCAACCATGAGCGACCGACCGACCTGTTTGGTATAACATTAACAACTCTGCATTGCTTCGCCATCTTGTCAGCACTCTAGTTGTTTAATAGCTCTATCTTCGGATCTGTTCGTGTTGAGAGCAGTACTTTAGCCAAATAATGGCAGTTAATCTTCGTAGCATTTCAGACGATGCAGACTATTACGTGTTAGTATATGAGGTTGCTAGACGGAAAATGTTATCAGTGTCACATTGTACAGATGCAATCTTTCAAAAACGAATAATTGAACAGTTAAGTGTCCAAGGAAGGGAACTAAAAGTGTTGGGAGTTGGTAGTGGCTCCGGTAAGATACCATGTATCAATTTTAATTTTATTTTTAGCCGTGGCTAGAGATACGGTACCGTATCGGAACTTCCGAATGCTAAAGGTACGGTAAATGATATTACGTCATGATTAGCCAATAGAAATGACCGACTCGATTTTGGCTTTTTTGCTAAGTCGACGTCACGATCATGAGAAACGTGGCACGAATAGTTACGATCAAATTTATGTCATAAAACTTCAGGCCCATTTCATGTTTTTTACTTATCACAATGTTTGGGTTAAAAATCCTTTCTGTTATTCTTGCGTATTTTATGGTCTACCATAGGAATGGTCTACTAAGGCTAGGCTTAGGCCTAGCCCGAATACCCCCAAAAAGGAGGGGGGTCCTCCCCCGGGAAAATTTCGATTCCTAGAAGAAGGCGGGAAATGAGCTTTCCCGACTTCTGGGGTGTCTTTTAATTACTTTTAAGTTCTTCAAAAATTTAAGGTTTTCCCCTCTTGAATACGGTCAGGTAATTTTTTACCATTGTTATTCAGTAAATAGGCTTTATGTGTGTATACATACATAAAAATTTTAAAAAAATGAGTAGTTGCATACAAATTTTCCATGAATCGATGAATCCCAAAAAGGAGGGGGGTCCGGGGAAAATTTTGATTCCTAGAAGGCGGAAAATGAGTTTTCCAGACTTCTGAGGTGTCTTTAATTATTTTTTGGGTACTGGATAAACATTCTCTTTCCCATCCTTCTCCTTCTTCCCTCCTTCTTTTCTTGCATTTCCGATCACACAAAAATCTCCAGACAATATATATTTTTTGTCAAAAAGTGGGGGGGGGGGGCGGGCCCCCCGGTTC